ATCCCTATCCAGCTGAATTCCTGAGAGGAGACTATTCTATTCCTTTTGTGATTGGTTCAAAGCAATGCACTTTGCTATGGAATAAGACCAATTAAGGAAATTGGAGAGTAATTTGTCATTTAAGTCTCAAATCCTTTTAGAAGAATGTGGGATCATAAATAAATATAACAAAATCATCTCCAACCTCATGTCTTGGAAATCTATTGCAATTTGCCAGGTACATTCTACTACATATTTTATAAATAATATAAACTAAATTTGGGATGGTGGAAAAATTCAGTAGTGACTCTAAACATGTCTGTGGAAGCATACTCGTGAGTGAAGGAAAGTGACTTATTTTTTCTGAATTTACTAAGCGAACCAATTTTTCTAGCATTGTTAAAATGCAGCTTAAAGACAAGTTAGTAAATTGAAGGGTTTGAATAATACTCAAAAAAGTTTTCTTGATTAATAGCACTTAGGAGATTCTGATGTTTAAAGTTTAACATCAGCAGAACTCTGTGGTTGTGTTATTTGTAGGAACATAGAAACCCCTGACAATTATCTCAGTGATTATACCAGTCAGGATAGGCTGAGTTATTCTGCGGTAACAAAAATCAATAAACAAAACAAACTCAAAGTGTCATAGAGGTTTATTTCCTGCTCATGCAAAATCTACTGTGGGTCCAGGTGACTCTCCAGGGTAATGTTCCTCATTTACCCACCTCATTTACCAAAGTGGCTTGGATCTTTTGGCTCCACCATCTCAACTAAGCCCTCCTCAGTCACCTTGGTAGGTGAAGGAAATGCACGGGGGGCTTTGCATTGGCTATTAGAGCTTTGGCCCTGTGGAGTCAGGTATCACTTCTGCTAACAGACTGTTGGCCTAGAGTAGTCACATAGCTCTGCCCAGTTCCAAAGTGGCAGGGAAAGGTAATCAATCCTCTCACATGTACCAGAGGAGAGAGGGTGAGATAAATGTGAGGACTAGGAAGTCCTACCTACAAAATTTCCTTTTTTCAATGGTTTACACAAAATTACCTTTACTACCTAGCATCCACCTTTTCTTTATAATTGCATAGTAGGAGGTTTTTATTTGTTCAATCTGGTTAATTGTCTCTGCTCTGCATTTTTATCACTGAAACATAAACTAAGGCCTAATTGTGTTGAACATATGTCATTTACAAAGTACTTTTTTATATATTATCTCAGTTAATATAACCCTGCAATAATGTGTATAGAAAGGTATCATGATTGCTTTCAGGAAATAGGCTCAGCAAAGCTTAGAAACTTGCAGGTTTTTCCAGTCAAGTAAGTGCTGAAGATAAGACTAAAATCCAGATCTTCTAACACCTTATATTCATTTTACTATACCATATTACTATCTTTGTTGGAGCTCTTTATGCTTACTCCTCTCAAATAAGTAAATCAAAATTACTGTTGTGCCCTTAAACATGGAAGATTCTATATCTGGTTTGCCTTAGAGTTTCAGACTTTGTTTAGTATTAATGACGTCTGGAGTTATTTTGTTATAAGGTTGCTGCAGAAATCATTAGTCCATAATTTCCTTAAAAGTCTAAGATGAACTCTGCTTTTATTCCATTTTATTTGATTCTCACATGTGCTTTTAAAATTTTGGCCATTTTAGAATTATTGGCCATTAAATTAATTTTATTAAATATCTGTAATTACAGGGTCTTGCATAACGTAGCTCTGATATATGCCATTTGTACTTCTTTATCAGTAAATTGAGATCTGTCAACTTTATGGCGTCATTTTATAGTTCCTCTTACCCCAGAATTTTAATGCTTTTTACAGAAACTAAACTCCTTGGAATTAGGTGTTTGCCTTTTTACCAAGGGAGAAGGCAAGGCCCACTAGGAGCTGTAATGCAAATTCTCAACTCCAGACCAGTTGTTCTTCTCATGGCTCTGATGGTGTACATAGCAACATTTTGAATTGATTTTCCCATATCAAAGTGAACTATGAATGTAATTGTAAGGTATATAAATGTTCATCCACAAAATCCAGTCTAAGAAATGTAACTCTATTTCCCCTTAGGTAACTCTGGCTAAATATCTCTTACAAGCCCCTGATCTACTGGGTACTAGGAACTTAATTTCATGGTGTTTAGGATGCCTACCAGTAAATTCTGTCAGTGCCCCCACCATATCTTCTTGGCACTCACCATTCCCATATATGCCAATAGTGTCTTACTGCCAACTTCTACAACTCTCAACCTGAGGGCTCTCTCACCCACATAGAGGGCAAAATGGAGTAACCCTTAGCCAACTATGGATGAGAGTTGAAAAATAAGTGCATTAGCTTCCTAGCCCCTCAGGTGGAAAACTAAGGTGTATTTCACAGTCTCTCCATAGGTTCCTATTGGGATTGATTCAGAGTTGCCCACAGCAGTAACCTGTTCACTAATGCATGTGTATGGGTTTTCTTCTCTTTCCTGTTTCATTTCCCCACTCCTCTATGAGGGCTTCCTATAATTATCACCCAAATAAGCCCCTTGTATTTGGATGATTATCTCAAGTTCTGTTTTGAAGGGATCAGTCTAAAATACTCACCTTTTCAGTTTCCCCTACATCTAAATACCATTGGCTGTTAGAACATTGAGACACAAGTGGAGGGGTGACTATTACATGGGTCTGAGTTCCAAATAGGTAGATTACATGGATCTGGGAACCAAAGGGTGGAAGTAGAAAAGGTCCTGCTCTTTATTACTCTCAGAGACTGTAAGGGGGGATTTGTGCTTTCCATCCCCAAGACTGGAGACTGTCAGTCTCGTGGTTCCAGTTCCCCAACTGGGAGAGACACTTCCACCAGAAAACACAGTCAGAATCTCATTCAATTTAAAGTTAAGGTTGCCACCTGATCAGTCTGAGCTCCTGTAGACCAGTAAGCACAGAAATGAGTTACCCCACTGGCATGGGTAATTGTCTCTGAATATCATAAGTAGTAGGAATGCTGCCATATACTGGGGTGGGAAAGAATATGTTTGGTATTAAAGTAATCCACTAGGGCATGTCTTGGTGTTCTTATGTTCAGTCACTTGGCAACCATAGCCATATAAGGGCCTGAGATCCCTTAGGGGCAAGGATCTCGGTCTTCCCATCAGATAAGTACCTAGAGTATCAGAATTATGAACTAAGAGTGAGAGAAATCTGGATGGTAAAGGATGGAAATAGTAATAACAACATGGTCTCAGATTTAAATACAACATCAAGTATGGTAGTTTGACCCACAAATTCCCTTTTGTAAATCTTCCTAGGAACTATGGCCATAGAAACCTGGAGTAGCTGCACCTGGATGCTGGATAGAGTGAATGGAATATGAGAAACAAGTACATTTGAGCAGTACAAGGGGTGGACTGTATTAGACATTGTTTTGGTGCCCCACCCCATCCTCTTTAGCAGGATGCTATAAATGCTCACAGATGACTTTCTACTTTGTAGAAATTGCTTTTATTTGGTGGGTTCTTAAATATCATCCTGCATCCCAAGGAAGGGCCATAGCCAAAGGCTGAGTGATAGGAGAGTACATAAGCTCCCGCCTCAAGGAAATACAGCACTGTGGTATAATTTATCCTCCAGAGCTCTTGTGGATGTGAGACCATATCCTTGCTCAGTTGTTACCTCTTCTCTGTCCTGATTCATTTCCTCCTTTATAAGACTTTCTCTCAAGAGCACTACCTTAGTTCATTGTGCATCTTCAAATCCCTGTCACAGAGTATGCCTCAAGGGAATTTGACCTATGACACTCAATTACACAAGGTAGGTTATTTTCTGAGATTTACGTAGTTTTACAGTAAAAAAGGCATTTTCTCATTTTCTCAAAAGACAGGACAAGTCAAAATTATGATTTAAAAGGGGTTTTTTAATATCATATTTTATAATCTGTCATATTCAAGGTCATATTTGAGAATTCTTGTTTTCTTCGCTAGCTGTAACCCTGCTATATGAAAATTTTAGCTCAAATAACTTGCCAGAATAATTTTACATTTGAAAGGTGGGCCTGAGCCTATCTTAGTTGATTGAAGATAAGAACTGGAAACAGTCAAAGACTATGGATGTACTCTGCAGGTGTTAGCAAATAAAGGAAGGCAAATTGGAGCACTTAAAAATCTTGAGTATAAAAAAAATGCCTTTCTGTCTACCTATTTGTCCGTCTATCTGTCTGTCTATCTAATCTAATCTATCTAGTTTTGCATGTATTTATACCCTTTTTTTTATTAGGCTAACATAACTATTGCTAGTGAGAAAGCAACATAATAATACACTGTGAGAAAACACTAGGTTAGAAAACTTTAAGAAAGTGCCTCAGTATCATAGTTTAGAGGTGGTGGTTAGGGCAATACTGATTGAGTGGGCTTCTCCTTCTCAATTCTTATTCATCCACGGTAACTTGGTTTTATTCTGTTGCACTAATTGGGCCAATCAATGCCTGGTCATGTCCCTCTCTAGTCCCATTCCTTGGCACTGTTCCTTTGTATGCCATGCTCCATCCATTTCTGAAAAATTGTCAATGCAGTTCTCAGAAAGTTCCCTACTATTTTCATCTTTAAACTTCACACAGGTTCACAGGCTCCCTCTGCCTGGGGCCACCTTCTCCCACCTCACATTTTTATATGGCCAAACTCTAACTCACTCATCAAATATCCCACCCACTAGGAAATTGCTGATTACCTGTACATCCCATTGCATTGTGTTTGCCTAGATCCTTGTCTTTTATCTGAATTGCTTTAAGTTGTTTGTTTGATGTTAAAGAATATATATTCAGTTCTGTACTCACACTGCCTAACAAACAGCTTAACATATAGTAATTGTTCAAAAATGGTACTTACTGTTATTAAAAGTAGACAGAGCACATACCTGAATTTTAATTAAGTTCTGACAGTTTCAAAAGCTCAGGCATAAAATGCCTTTTCTGCTTAATACTGACATAAAACCATACCTATCACATCAATTTTTTTTGTCTTTTATTTTCCCACATCCTTTGATGTTGATCAGTGGTCCAAAATATGATGCAGATCAATGTAATTTACCACATGGGGAAATGGCAAATTACCTTGCAAACCATACAGGATTTTATAGAATTGATGAAAGTGATGTTGGAGGACTACTAGATTCTGTGTGAAGCTGTTGAAAAGCATGGCTGTCCAAAGGAAGATTGAAGAAGGTAAGATGAAAAGTCAGCTTGTGTGATACTTCAAATAAGAATAATTAGTATAATAATAAGGATTAGGAGAACCCCTTGGGAAAATGGTTGAAACCTTTGAGTACTTTTGCAAAAATTACCCACTTTTTAGTAATATTGTAAAAGTAAGATGTGATGTGATAAATGTTCTATCAATATTTTATATCTGAATTTTTTTGCCTCTTCAGAAAAACTAATTCTAGGAATTAGCATATAGATGCATTTCTTACCTAAATTCTATTAGTGGCACAAGATAAACACACTTCTTTTCTATACTGTTAAGTTTCACACACTTCTTTTCTATACTGTTAAGTTTCATTTTCAAAGTATTGGCCCAGTCAAACATTTTTTTCATTTTTCACCATGAGATTTTGGTTCCCATTTAAAGTGGATTCACTTTAGGTGGTCTTCTTTTTTGGGTACTGATTATCTTCATATATTGAGAACTTTCTGTACTTCCAGGGACAAAACTAGAACTAAAATATGGCAATTGTAGGCAGATGACCAGGAGACTTTTGAAAATGAAAGGTAGCACACTTAATAATCATATCAAGATGATAGGTATAAAATGGAACTGCTCTGGGCAAACCAAAACATCCAGCCACCCTTATTTTTGGGAGGTGTATGTATTGAACTATTTATGAAATATTTTCTGATGCTGTGAGCATCAGGAAGTCACTCCTACTATAGTGACTTCCCTGCCATTGGAAGTATCCAATCAGACTGTCAGCAATGATATTGATGACATCTGAGGACCCCTTTCCAATCTCCAAGAGCACTGCTCTTTGATATACACCTAAAGCCATTGCAGAATTCCAGGGTCTGCTTGGCTGTAAAAAACCCTTTCATTGCAACGATGACAACAACAACAAAGGCATCACATTTTTGTGTTTTTCCTGTCCTGTAAACCTACCTGATGGATATAGTTTTTGGTGCTTGATAACCTTGTTTCTGACCTTTCTCAGGTTTCAGCATATTCCGTACCTGAAGCCTCATTCTGTTATTGGTCAAGGCTTGGATAGCCTCAGCTGTCCATCCCAGGCACTCTCCAGCCTTACGGAACTAGAATCACAAAGGTGAGAGTGGAAAGGGGACCTGAAGATTGGAGATTGAAGGTAAAGTTTTAAGTATCATGTTACTTATAGATGAGAAAGTAGGAGAATTTGCCAGTTGGTTAGTGCTTTAAAATCAGAGGGATGTTTCCTACTCTTGCTATAGAGAGAAAAACTGGATAAAAACTCTGTCATTCTCTTCAGGCATTGGGGTAGATCAATGTTTCCTAAGAGAAATTTAATAACATATTCTACTAGACTTTGATTCAAAATAGCAACCTGAAAACATGAGTGTATAAGCTAGGAGACAGCCATTTTATATCTGGGTATCTATAAAGCTGTAATGAAGTAGAATTTTTTCTTGAGCCCAGCCACTAAGGTAGCTGCCCTAAGTTCTGTCAATCATACTGTCACCTTACTTTGAGAAGACCTTATCTGCAGATAAAACAGAAGACAGTAAGGGAAGAGGTGGAAAAAGTGGACAACTGCAAATGTAAAACTTGAAATAATCCTGTGCTTTCATTACCACTTCTCACCTCTCCTTTCCATCTTACTTGCTGTGGCTCACAACTCTCATTTTCCTTCTAATCAGCAGATTTCCTTGTGTATACTCCTGGGGCAGTATCTCTGTTCTGTTCTTTCTGAGTTTTAAAATAGTCTTCTGTCCTTCAGAAAGTTGTTAATAGTATTTCATATACTGATGGCTTGCTCTCTGCCTATACGTGATAAAGTGAAGTAGACAAGCCCCACCCACTTACATGGAGCTTCTTTTCAGGCTGCCTCATACTCCATACTTAATATGAATAGAAAAGTAAGAATCACTACACATTTAAGAAATCCTGAAGTATGGGAGAGGAAAGACAAAAATAAACATATAATTAGGCAAATTTATAAGTAACAGAATAGAACTTTAAACATGTGATTGAAGACTTCCAGTCTGAACAAGATGGCATAGACCCCTTTACCCTGATACCAATGCCAAAGACAGTACAAAAAAATAGTAAACTATAGACTCATATCTCTTCTGAACTTAAATGCAAAAATCCTCAACAAATTTGAATCTAATAATATATAAAAAGAATTATACACCATGGCTAAGTTGGATATATTCCAGGTATGGAAGACTGTTTCAGCATTAAAAAATTAATCAATGTAATCCACGATATCAACAAGCTAAATGAGAAAAAAGCATATGATCACCTCAATTGTGGCAGAAAAAAACATTTGACAAAATTCAACACACATTAATGATATAAAAATTTCAGCAAGTTAGGAATTGAGGAGAATTAGCTCAGCTTGATAAAGAGCATCTACCAAAAAATACACAATTAATATTGTGGGGAGAGATGGAATGCCTTCCTTCCAAGATCAAGAACAAGGCAAGGATGTCCTTTCTCACCACTCTTACTCAACAGTACTGAAAATTCTAGCTACTGAAATGAAGAAAATGAAGTAAAAAGCATAACAGATTGGAAGGGAAGAGATAAAATTGTCTCTTTCACAGATTCTGTATACAAAATTCCAAAGAATCTGTAAAAGAACATCTAGAACTAATAAGTTCGGCAAGGTCACAGTATATAAGATCAACACGCAAAAACATCAATCCCATTTCTGTATACTACAATGAACATGTGGAAACCAAAATAAAAAGCACAATACCATTTACAATCACTCCAAAGAAATGGAAATACTTAGGTATACAGTTAACAAAACATATATAGGATCTGTATGCTGAAAATTACAAAATGCTGATGAAAGAAATCAAGGAAGACCTAAATAAATGGAGAGACATGCAGTGTTCATGAATTGGAAGGCTCAACATAGTAAAGATGTCAATTTTCCCTGAGTGGATCTGTTGGCTTAATGCAAGTCCTATCAAAATCCCAGGAGGTGTATCTATACACATAGGCAAGCTTGTTCTAAAATTTATATGGATAGGCACAAGCTGTAGAATAGCTAACAACCTTGACAAAGAAGGATAAAGGGGGAGGAGTCACTGTATCACATATTAATGCTTACTATATAGTTACTATAATCAAGACAGTGTGGTATTGACAGAAGGATAGACACAAAGATCAATGGAACAGAAAAGAGCACCCAGAAATAGATCCACACAAATATGCCCAATTGATTTGGGCAAAGATCCAAAGTAATTCACTAAAGGAAGGACAGCCTTTTCAACAAATGGTGCTAGAGCAATTGGACATCCATAGGTAGAAAAATGAACCTTGACTGAAACCTCATACCTTGTATAAAAATTAACTCAAAATAGGGGCACCTGTGTGGCTCAGTCCATTAAGCATCTGCCTACAGCTCAGGTCATGATCCCAGGGTCCTGGGATCAAGCCCCACATTGGGCTCTCTGCTCAGTGGGGAGCCTGCTTCTCCCTCTCCCTCTGCCTGCTGCTCCCCCTGCTGTACGCGCTCTGTCAAATAAATAAATAAAATCTTTAAAAAAAAATTAACTCAAAATAGATGATAGGTTTAAATGTAAAATGTAAATTTATAAAAATCTTAGAGAATAAAATCATAGGAAAAAAAAGTCTTTGGGACCTAAAGATAGGCAGACATTTCATAGACTTGACACAAAAAGTATGAAAAAAAAATGGGAGGGAAAAGGAAAAGTTGATAAGTTGAACCTCATCAAAATTTAAAACTTTTGTACTGTAAACACCCATATAAAGAGGCTGACAAGGCAAGCTACAGACTGGGAGAAAATTTTCACAAACCACATATCCAATAAAGAACTAATATATACAATATATGAAATACTCTCAAAACTCAGCAGGAAAAAACCAAAGAACCCAATTAGAAAATGGGCAAAAGATATGTAATGACATTTCACTGAAGAGGATATAAGCACATGAAAAGATATTCATCATTAGTCATTAAGGAAATGCAAATTTTAAAGGTATGAGATATGAGTATACAACTATCAGAGCAGCTAAAATAAGAAAAAAGTGAGAACACAGAATGCTGGTAAAGATAATGGAGAAACCAGCTCACTCATACATTACTGGTGGGAATGTTCAATGGCACAGCCACTTTGCAAAAGAGTTCAACAGTTTCTTACGAAACTAAATATGCAACTACCATATGACCCAGCAATTGCACTCTTGGGTATTTATCCCAGAGGAATAAACAGGTATTTTCACACAAAACCTATACATGAATGTTTCATGGCAGCTTTATCCATAATAGCTCCCAATTGGAAACAGCCCAAATGTCCTTCAGTTGGTGAATGGTTAAACTGTGTTATATACATATCATGGAATACTACTCAAAAATAAAAAGAAATAAGAGATCAATAAAAATACCACTTGGATGAATTTCTAGGTAATTCATGCAGTCAAAAAAGCAGTTACGCATTATATGATTTAATTTATATAGCACTTTAAAGTGACAAAATTATTGAAATGGGAGAACAGATTAGTGGTTATCTAGTAGATGAAGGGAGTAGGAAAGGTAGTGGAAGGTAAAAAGGAAACATGAGGGATCCTTATGGTGATAACTAGTCAATACCTTGACTGTGGTAACAGATGCACAAACCTGTACATATAATAAAATCATATAGAACTAAACACACACAACACACAATTGAGTCTAAGTAAAACTGGAGAAATCTGAATAAGATCAGTGGATTGTCGTTATCATGGTTGTGATATTATACTATAGTTTCACAAATGTTTTTAGGGGTAACTGAGTTACAGTTGGGATCTCTGTATATTATTTCTTACAACTACATGTGAATCCCAAAGATCTCAGTAAATGTTTCAATTAACAAAAGGCTTTTTGAAAAAATGTGATTGCAATTCTCAGAGTCAAAATGGGATGGCACCTATAAAAGAACAGGTTGCAAACAAATGTGCTATGGTGAGTACTGTGAATTGTGTAAGACTGATGAATCACAGACCTGTACCTCTGAAACAAATAATACATTATATGTTAAAAAAAAGAGAGAGAGAAGATAGTAGGAAGGGAAAAATGAAGCGAGTGGATATTGGAGGGGGAGACGAACCATGAGAGACTATGGACTCTGAGAAACAAACTGAGGGTTCTAGAGGGGAGGGGCATGGGAAGATGGGTTAGCCTGGTGATGGGTATTAAAGAGGGCACGTATTGAATGGAGCACTGGGTGTTATATGCAAACAATGAATCATGGAACAGTACATCAAAAACTAATGATGTAATGTATGGTGATTAACTAACATAATAAAATAAAATTAAAAAAAGAACAGGTTGCAAACAAATCATCAGAGAAGACACAATACTCTTGGAAATTGAAAACATGATTTCCATAACAACAAATTTAATAGAAAATTTGGAAGATTTCAGAATATAAAGCAAAAAGACAAAGAAAGAAAATACTAGATGAATAATAAAAGATATGGAGGATCAGTCCAGAAGTTCAGACCACTGTCTAATAGGATATCCAGAGAGAGGAAAAGCAGAGAGAATGTATAGGAGAGGAGGAAAGTATTAAAGAAATAAGAGAATAACAACAACAACAACAAAAACCCCAAAGCTATGGAGAACAAGGAGTCTTTGCAATAAAAGAAATTAGTAACCAATAAGCAGGATGAATTTAAAAAAATAAAACCCCAACCAAACAAAAAACCCTAACCCACATCAAATCACATTCTGAGCGAAACAAAATCATTCCAAATATGCAAGAACTCAAGATGTTTACTTCTTATTTGCCATATCTGAGGAATTTACTTGAGGATATACTCCAGCACCCAAAGGAGGGAACTTAGTGACATTACAAATCTAATAAAATAAAATTCTAGGAGAATAGTTGAGTAGTAAGCTTACAAAAGCCCAAATTAGAACATGGGTTAGTGGGATCCAAATCTTCAAGAGATAGGGATGTATGTCAAGTGAAAGAGAATGAGAGTCTGTAAAACATTTGACACATGATGAAGAGATATAATTCTTTCAACTATAAAAAATAGAAAGGCAATAAGAAATGCCCAGAAAAAAAAATAAAACTCATGGTCCAAATACAAACAACCCAAAATATGGCATGATTTTGATTTATTGGTAGAGGGAAAGAAAGGAGA